TTCTCAGCTCCCCCCAGCCTGCTGGAACAGCCAGGACTTGGTGGCTTTGCGGAAGGCTGGGAGGGTAGTAAGGGTCCGGATCTCAGTTAACCCTTATGACATTGTAACAGCTAAGGCGAAGCGCCCATCGACCTGAGTGACCTTGAGTTGGCCACGCCCTCCCAGTCACATGACCACCGAGCCCCACCTACCGAGATGGTCATTAGGGCAGAGAACCGGCTGTTAACCTATTTGAATCCCACCACTGAGTGGCTTGTCAGGCTCCGCTCCATTTGCACCCACCACTGGTCAGCTGAGCGACAGCTGGATCCCGGACTCCCATAGCCCTGCTGATCAGTGGGCTGGCTGACTGGAAACGCTGCCGTTGCTTTCTCCTCCGTGTCTGCTGCCTCCTCCGGGAACGCTGGAGCCTTCGCCGCTGAGCACCTGATCAGCGGTTGGTCGGCCACACAGAATACTGCCAACCAGCTGTTCCAGGCAGCGGGGATTGCTGCCGCTGTTCACTGCTGCTGCCCGTCTCCCGTATTTACTCCATAAGCCGCGCAGACATTTCCACCCACTTTTGGGCGGGGGGAGGGATATATCTTAACGGAGCGAAAAATACGGTACTTAATGACGATTTACTTGACAACTGCAGCAAAAAAAAAGTAAAATCATGCACAATCTCTTTAATTACCTTGATTAGCAACAGAAATTCTTGTCCCAACTGTGGTTATAAGTCAAGAACGACCCCCTACAATTATTGTGGAACGTAGCACCCAAAAGGTTGAGGATGTCTTGGGATATTACTGGAATCGTCCCTTAGGTTTTCCTTTTTATCTCCCCATTTCTCCACAGGCCACACGCAATACCGGCAAAAGCATCGCAGGCAAGAACATTGCGAACCCCACGGCAATGCTCCTTGCCAGCTGTATGATGCTGGATCACCTCAGGTAGGTGGTCGGAGGGTGAAATGAAGGCTCAGAATATACTGAATGGGTTCCTAAAAAGGAAAGGTGGGATCGAAATGAATGAACAATCCCTAGAAGCAGCTGCCGTCATATAGAGCCGAGGTGGCGCAGTGGTTAAATGCAGCGCTGCAGGCTACTTCAGCTGACTGCAGTTCGGCTGTTCAAATCTCACCGGCTCAGGGTTGACTCAGCCTTCCATCCTTCTGAGGTGGGTGAAATGAGGACCCGGATTGTTAGGGGGCGATATGCTGACTCTGTAAACCGCTTAGAGAGGGCTGAAAGCCCTATGAAGCGGTATATAAGTCTAACTGCTATTGCTATATTGGGGATGGGGAAAAAGAGGCTGGTTTGGGTTGCTGTTCTTAAGAAAGATCTGTCATCCATTGCAGATTGCACAGCTACGCGTCCGTGATCCGCAAGGCAGTCTTTACCGCCATGGATGACGCGGAAGTGAGTTGCTCTTATTCTGATCCTGGACTGTCTTTGATCAAGCTAATGGGAAGTAATAAAGGGTGTTTTTTTTTTAATTTAAAAAAAGATCTAGTTACTTGGACTTTAGGGACCACGAGTGTCCTTAGAATCTCTTGGAAAAGTGGAAATGAATTTCTTGATACTGGATGGAATCTATTTGGGTGTATTGCCATAATAAATACTATATTACACAACATGCTGGAGGGAGTAGAAGCAAGATGTTTTCCTATTCCAGAATGGAGCAAAAGTTGCTCTTAATATTTGCCTAGGGAGAAATTCACAGAAGAGCTCAACTAAAACAGATGTAGATGAAAGCCAGTTCGGTGTAGTGGGTGACCTTGGGCCAATCGCTCTCTCACAGCCTTAAGAGGCAGGCAGTGGCAACACACTTCTGAAATCTTGCCAGGAAAACTGCTGGGAGTTGTTCAGAGTTGCCAGAAGTTAACACTGACTTTGAGGTACACACACATGGACACACACACACACAAACGAAAGATGAACCATTTTTATGAGTAGAAAGCTGGATTGTTAGGATATTTACATAGTATTATAAAGCCATCCTTTTTGTGATGATCTCCAAGAATAGAGGGTGAAAACTCTCCTAAAAAGGCTTTGATCTGCAACAATGGAAAGAATTGCAACTGGTCCTTCTCCAATAATGGAATTTTGACGTTGGAGAGGAATCAAAAAAATAAAATACCAGAAACAGCTATGGGATACACAGGGTGTCCCAGTCTCGGTTTCTTGACTTCCTCTGCAAAGTTATGGGCCTGTACATCAAACGTCCCAGCTGTCAATGATGTAATTCACACTGAACCCATTGGGTACAACAAAAAGTCAAAATAAGAAAAGAATGTAAATTCAAATGGAGAGAGGTTTGCCCTGCCCAATTTTCCAGGTCGGAGGGGGAGCACCCCCAAAACCTACGGAAGGGTTCCCCCTCCCATCTTGGGTTTACTGTGCTTAAGGTTAATGATGGGCGCATGTCAGATAAAACTCATTCTTTATACATTTGAATTTACCCAAGAGTTGACAAGAGTATTGCAGTACCCTCACCATAACATTTCATTTTCTGTATAAAAGTTTTAATTGTATTTAACTTGGTAAGATCCTCACTTATGCCACCCCTGTTCAGGAACTATAGTTGCAAAAGGCCAGATGTTCAGCACTTCAACTAATGGTGGGACATCTATTGCTGCAGTGCAGTGGAGAGTGAGGCTGGCTTAGTGCAGTTCTGTATTTTCTTCTCTTTAGACCCACACGCCAGATATTGGGGGCCAGGGCACCACCTCAGCAGCCGTTCAATCAATTATGAAGCAGATGAGCCAGCCTAAGTCTCACCTGGCACAGGTAAGAGAATAGAAGGAAGTTTTCAGATTGGAGGGCTGGGGCTGGTTGCAGTGAATTAATTGCATGCTTGGGCTACAGGGCATGCCAGACCCATGGACACAGCTGCATTTATTCTTTAGTAGGAATTAGATGTACAGGCAGTCCTTGACTTGTGACCATTTGTTTAACAAGCCAAGTTATGAGGGTGCTCAAAAAACGGCATTTCTTATTCACCTTCTCATGTCCATTGCACTCTCCCTGCCGTCATCGTGATCAAAATTTGGGCACTTGAAAACTTGTGTATTTACGATGATTGCAGCATCCCCAAGGTCACATGATCACTGTTGATGGCCTTCCCAGGGGGCTTCCAACAGGCAAAGTCGGGGGTGGGGTGTAAGCCAGATTGGTTCAATCATTGTCATAATTTGCTTAACAAAGACGGCAGAAAAGATTGTAACAACTCAAGCCGAGGATTATTTGTAAAGCAAAGGGGGAAAGGGATAATACGCAACAGAGGGTTGTAGCCCTTCTCCAATATGGCATTGGTCACGTAAGTTTAATACCCATCCATTTTCTATGGGAGAAAGTTTGGGGACTGGTCCAAGTCAATGGGAGGATGCCAGATGGGAAAAAATATTCTAGATTTTCTTTTTAAATTGGTTTGCCCATAATAAAAGCCAAGATATCATTTACAAGGGTTCCACCACAATACCGCGAAGCCCTTATCCGCGGAGACATAAGCGCGAGTGCTAATCCGCGCCGTCCGAAT